AGTGCGCATGCGGACACGCGCCTGCACCTCCCTCCCCCAGATCAGTCCCCCAGGGAACAAACCCGTCCCTCCTCCCCGCGGGGATCTGAGCTAATTCCCGGTCCACCAATGACCTCTCCCGGACCGCCCCAAGACCGAGCCCCGGACAGCCAAGGAGAGCGGGATTGCAGGAACCCCCAGCGCCTTCCCAAAGAGGAGGCGCGGTACAGGCTGGGCCGGGAGTCCGAGGACCCGAGTGCGAATCCCAACTTGGCCACTTTCTCCGCCGGGGCGACCTAGAGCCAGTCACGCAACCTCTCTGATCTTCCCTTTCCTGATCCCTAAAAGGAGGGGGTTGGGCAGCTCTTAATCCCCCAGTCCCCCAGGACCTCCCTCCGCCTGTCACCGACCCACGGCGCACGGCCCCTGGGAGGATGACAGAAGCTCAGCAGGTCTACTCAGGGCAGATCCTCAGCTGACCGAGAAGTAACAGGTCCCCAGGCTTATCACAGCACACCTGTCATTTGCCCTTCTGACAGCTTCGGCCATGTCACATCAGGAACACACGGCCTCCGCTTTAAGGAGGGCACGAGTCAAATCTTCCCTCTTAGTGTCTAGTGCTCCAGCAGCGCCTTTTGATTGGCGGCATTCTGATTTTCCTCGTTTTGCAGATGAGAAAACTGAGGCACCCAGGGGTTAAGTGATGTGGCTAGTGATTGGCAGTGCTCTGGTCAAACTATCTCCCTCGTGCATAGACCTGGTCGCATCACTTATTTTTTCAAACATCCTTGTTCCTGAAAAAAAGATATTGGCATTAAAGGCACTCCATAATCTGGCATCACTACCTTTTTTCCAACCTTATCCCTTCAAGGGGTATTAATCAAGGTAATTAAGTCCCCTTATATTCCATTACTGCTCCCCTCCACATAATCCAAGTAGAGGGCTTGTAATGTTCCAGAAATATTCATTGCTTCTCCTCTTCGCTTGCTGGATTCCCAATACATCTTTTAAAGTCCGAACTGCAGGAAGGCTTCGCTGATTTTAGCACTCTTCCTCATGGAAGGATGAATTTCATGCATTTATCATGTGTTTTTTTTCATATAGAATATCGTCTATTATTTTTGTATCTGTGTTTATATCTCACCCTTTTCATAGACTGTAAACTCTATGAGCAAAGGGACCACATCTCACCTCCCCAAAAGCCTAGGAGCGCTTCGCACCCAGCAGACATTTAATGTTATGTTGAAGTAAAGCACTTTAAAAATTCATTTCAATAAACATTTATTATAGGTACTCAACCTACTGGTGTGCAAAAATCACTGTGCCCTACAACTTCCTACTTACTACTTCCTACTGGATTATAAACTGCTTATTTATCTTTCTCTCCCGCACAAGCACGTTTAATAATCTGCTGAAGGATGCATTTGTTTTCCATCACACACTGCCTCGCCTCCAGTCCCGGTGCTCCATGGGGAGGAAAGTCCAAAAGAACAGCGACGATCCAAATCCTCTGGGTTAGAGGCAGAAATCTTGGGGTGCTGCATCCTCAGAAGGGCCTTCTTAGAGGAAGCCTGCATGACCCCAAGAGTGAAAGTTAAAGACCTTTTGCTTTTGTTGGGGGTGGGGGAGGTCGTGTGCAGTGTGTGGGATAGGTCACTCTCAGTGGTGAGAGACAGAAAACCGTGACAGCCCTGGGGATCGGAGCTGGGATTCTTTGACATCACCCAGTCAGCTCTCTCCCTGCCCCCCCCCAACCCATTTTACAGATGAGCAAAAGGAGGCCAAGGGCGGTGTAAAGGCGAGAGAACTTAGATTTGGGGCTGGAGCGCGTCCAGGCCTCTCTTTGCCCCAAGTGGCCCCCGCTGGGAGAGGCGGCGGAGGCCGGGAAGGCCCCCTGCCACGCCGGGGCATTCGCAGGGCCCAGGGCGGGGCAGTTGGGCGCCCGCGGCTCCAGGCCGCCCGTGCCCCCGCCTCCTACCACCTTCCACAGCCCGTGCGCGTGCGCGCTCGCAGACACCGGTTGCCAAACATTGCATCATCTCCGCCCTCCTTTGCTTGCTTACTCTATCTCCCTCCCTCTCCTGGCCCCACACCCCTCCTCCCTTCCCCCGCGCTCCACTCTTCTCCTCCGTGCTCTTGCTCGCTCTCGCCCGCGCGCGCGCACTCCCAGAACTCACCCATCTCCCCAGAGCCTCGTGACCCCAAGCCACTTCCGGGTACAACGCGACTTCTACCCCCGCTCGGAGTGGGGCTAGGGAGGGGGGGACCTAGGAGCTCCTGAATGGTAGAGGGCAGGGGGCGGGGCGGGGCCGAAGCTGGCGTGCCCCTCGCCTATTGGGTGGTGACTCGACACCCCGCCCCTCCCCGGAGGAGGGCAGGGTTGTTTTAAAAGGCTTGGACCCAAGGCCTTGTCGAGGTCAGACGCTTGAGTACAAGACAAAGGATAGATGATGATGAAGATGACCTGGTGGCAGCAGCAAAGCCAGAACCAGAGCCGGGACCCGAGGAGAGAGGCAAGTGCCAGTCCCTACCTTCTCCCCTCCCGTGTCACTTACTGCCCTCCCCAAATTAGGGACTCCACCCCCTACACCAGGGGCTGCGCCCCAAAACGTGATCTTCTCCTCCGGGGTCTTTTATAACCTTGTTAGCCTAAGATCCTAATAAATTCAGGGTCCTGTGGAGCGCATCATCCCCCAAAAAAGGTGTGGGCTCCTCTTGTCCAATGTAGGAAAGGATTTATGCCCCTCCCCCTTCTTTGGAAGGACAACCCCGCCCTCCACCCAGTATGACACGGATAACTGAGTCTGTGGGATGCTGCTCCCTTCGAGTACCAGGGAGATGGCTCGGGCGGGCAGGAAGGTGAGCTTGGCCTGCCAGAGGGGAGGAGACTGACCTCCGAGGGGAGCACGGTCACCACTCGCCCAATCACAGTGAGAGGTGCCAGGAGCCCTCCCCTCTGCTGTTGTCCAAGCCTGGATAACTTGAGATTTGGGCTGCAGCTTAGCTCACTCCTTCTCTCCTGCTTGGTCTGCTAGCAAGAATACGGACTCTATTTATTCTGCATATTTGTGCTCTTGGGCCCTGTGATTAACATCTCCCTTCAGCAGGAAGAACTTTACAAGTAAGGGTCACTTAGAAAATAGTAAGGATGAAGAAGTCCGAGAGGGGAGTGATTTCCTCTTTCCCTATCCTGAAGCTTTATTAATGTAGCAGTTATTTCTCCAGTTTGGGGCACCCTGAATGTAATACTTGGTATGCTGCATTTTCAGCAGACTGGATATTTCTTGCATCCCCCTATCCTGTGTCCCTTTCCAAGCAGCCCTATGTAACCATTGCATCAGGCCAGCCCCCCTTCCTGACTCTGGATCCCTCTGGCCTGGAGCCTCACTGCTGATGAAAGCCCTGTCCTGTATGCAGGAAGGCAAGGGAGAGTCCCATGGGGGATTGACAGCCCAGCAGAGAAATACTGGGGGTGGTATTGCATCTCCAGCCTCCTGGGACTCCTGAAGCTGCTACTGCTGCTTGCCACCTCTGGGCTGCAGCTGTCCCTGCCCTGTCAAGGGGACACAGAATCAGCAAAGTGCCAATCCAGTCCCTTCTCCAACAATTAATTGTGGCCTAATTTGGATATTAAGAAGGCTATGGTTTGCCTGGGACTTTTTCCATTATGCAATAAGGATGACAAATGTCAGCAACTAAAAATAAAGAGAATTGGGCTCTTCTTTGACCAATACCCACACACCTTGGAGAAGGATGTGTGGACTCGTAACTGATCAGCATAGCACTAAGACAACTTCCAGACTGAGAAGGAAGGAAAGTGGAGGAACAATCTTTCAAATGAACTTACTCTTTTTCTCTCTACCCTCTACAGTGTTCCAGAAGAAAGTCTATCTTCATACATCACCATACCTGAGAGCAGGTAAATTTGATCAGGCCTTTCCCCCTAATCTTTGAGGATATCCATGGTGATCCTTAAAGAAGCCAGAGCATCTTTAAGGATTTGGTATAGGCTCATTTCCCCTGGCCCAGTCCTCATAAGTTGTCTGATTCACTATTCTTTTTTATGACCCTTCACTAGCTTTTATTTGGGGGGTAGCTCGATTAGGGTAAGAGTAGCATAAATGACAAGTCGCCCTGAAATGTAAAACTATATTCTTTCAAAAATTCTATATAAATGTCAAGGTATTATCAGGAATGAAAGTTCTCCAGCTTGTTTTGTGAAGCATCCTCATTGCCAGTAGTCTTTCCCCAGAGTCCGATCTAACCAGAGATGGCAGCTGAACCACTGCCCTTCTCCTTTGGGACGCTGTCTAGCTGGGAGCTAGAGGCCTGGTATGAGGACCTGCAAGAGGTGCTGTCCTCCGAAGAGAACGGAGGGACATATGCCCAACACCCTGAAACAGAACAGGTAAAGTTTGCAAAAGTAATTTTTCTGCTAAAACCCTGAGGTAGGGAGTACACTTATTATTCCCATTTTACAAATGAGGAGAATGACTAGCCCCAGGTGACACAGCTACTGCAGCTCAAGGCGAGGGTCCTTTTCTGGTGTCACGCCATCTTTTGTTTCCTTGTAGGAAGAACTGAAAAGTTTTACTACTCTTGACCCAGCCTCCCTGGTCTGGCTAGCTGAGGAGCCTGGGCCAGGGGGAATCACAAGCAGTGGCCAGAGCCCTTGCTCTCCCGAGTCCAGCCAGAGTTCACTGGCCCAGGAAGAAGAGGAGGAACAGGGGGAGCGAGGAAGAAATAGGAAACGGAGGCACAGTGAGCAGTCCCCTGCTCGAGGTCGAAAGCAAAGTGTGAAAGAAAAGGAACAGGAGAATGAACGAAAGGTGGCCCATCTGGCTGCAGAAAACGAGCGACTGAAGAGAGAGATCGAACGACTGACCAAAGAAGTAGACACGACACGCCAGGCCCTGATTGACCGCATGGTCAGCTTGCCCCGGTCATGAAGGCCTTTAGCTCTGTCCCCTTCCCCAAGTGCCAACCAGCAACCACACACACTCTGAAGGGAAGGTCCCTCACCATGTATATAGATGTATTTATTATCTCTAACCCGCTGCATTAAAATGATTTATATTCAATCACACTCAGATGGTGTCTCAAGCGTTCCTTTTCATTTCTTCTTCTTGCCCTTCGAAGGTTCTGGAGGCTTCCCTTCAGCCAGTGCCAGTTGTTGTTTTAGTTCCAGCAGTTTAGCCACCTCAGCAGCCACCTGGGCTTTGTCTGCCTTCTGGGCCTTCAACTCTCGGACAACATTGCCCTGAGGTTACAGAAAGGGATGATGAGGAGGAGTGGGTACAGCCCCTATGCTAGCCCCCTCCCTCTTCCCTGAACCCACCTGTTTTGTCACTGCATCCGTTAGCAGCTTAATCTGCTCAGGATTTGCTAGTTCTGTGGGGTCTTCTGCCTTGGAAACTTTGGCCTCAGAAGGAATAAGGGGATCATTTTTACCCCATGCATAAATTCTCCCTCCCCACACAGAAACATGCTTGCAATTATCCCTTTAACAGCTCAACAGAGTGATTACCTTCAACTCCAAGGAATCTTCTAGCTAAGACAGGAAAAAGAGAAGCTACAGGTAAGGTACTAATAAGGATGAAAAGGAACAAAGTGGGGAGGAGGAAGAGGAAGAAAGCTGTTTGCAGATTGAATGGTAGAAAGTCTTGACAAGGGGCAACTTAACTACCAGGGGCAAATGAGCACAGCTGCCCTCCCTCCTCCTTACCTGGCCCCCTCCAAAGCGCTTTCTCAGGCTTTCAATTTGGTCGTTTTCTAGCTTCTGAAACAAGGGACTAACCTGTGAGGAAAGAGAAGGTTAAGCTCAGCAGGATAAAAGGAACGACAGCTTTGAGGCCTGCCATCCTTGAAAGGAAGCTTTGAAGGAATTTTAGAAGAAATAAAACTCGAATAGGGAATAAAAACTCATACCTTTTAGAGAGATGATACATAGAACTCTAACCTAAGAGACTGTAGAGGCCAAGTATAAATAGACTTCAGAGGAAGGAAAGCAGGAGATAGTGTTGGCATACTAATAATATTATAAAGAACAACTCCCAGGATCTCTCAAATAACAAATATTATAGGGCTAGCACCAGACCAAATCTAATAAACAGCATTCTTTATGTTCCATTTTAAGGATGACAGTGAAAGATAAGATAGATTGCAGAATGAGACACATCAACCTTAAATGCAAAATTGAGGATGAAAATCAGAAGCCTTGGGAACTCTTTGCCTAAAATGAGAGCTTGGGTGGAAAGGAAGGGCAATATCAGCTCTTCCTTTTCAGCAAAGGCTTCAAGAAGAACAGAGAATTTCTGAAATGGTTTGTAGAACTGAAAGACAACCTACTATGCCAATCTGGTGCCCGGCAGGCAGGAGGCATGGGAAGTCGGTAGGCAAGACAGCACAGGCTGCAGGTGGGAGCTGCAGCTGGGTCTGGATAGTTGTGCTGACCGTAGGCATGTACGGCTGTATCATGATGGAGAGCAGGGCAGCCATATTCACTGCCACACCTGTCACTGTGCCGGCACGGAGCCTGTGAAGGGTGGAGACGGTGTTACTCGGGGGCTTACAGACATATAGAGCTCCTCGGAATGTGAAGATCCACCCACACCGCTTTACCTATCAGCCTCATTGCCCTTGATTCGCTTCCAGGGCTCATTCACTTGAATGTACTGGTTGCCGTGCCGTGAGATGGTAAGGAAACACCGAAGGGCATCTCTAATCCTATGATGGAATAACCAAAGATTAGACCTAGGAGGAATGAGAAGAAGGCTTCTCCATTCCAGAAAATCTTTGGAGGGAAGGTGAAATCAGAGTACTCACCGAACCTTCTCCAGCAGTTGGTGGTACAGTCGTAGCTCCAATGTGACATGGGCAAGTAGTCGCTGGTCATCCGGAGTTAGCGTCATCTTAGGTACACAGCCTCCAAAAAACTTGCACACAAACATCCCAGCTCTGCAGGGAAAAGGAATAAAGGGAAGCAAGTTGCATCTAGACCTACCCGCCAAAGTTCAGCCAACAAAACCACCCCAGGCCTGAAATCATCCCCATTTCCATTACCCCACATTTCCTCAGCATTCATGCAATTGATACCTTAAGTTCTGCGTCATGGAATCTTAAGAGGTTATCCAGTCCAACTGGGTACTCTAGGTATGTGTCTTAATGTGTTTCTTCTGTTTTTCTCCCATCCCTCCTATGGGAGATACAGCTCCCCAAGGCAGAGGCTAGGCTTTTCTTTCTATCTCCCCCAGTGTAAGCCTCTGCTCCACACAATGGGCATTCAATGTACATGCAGTGGTCATTTGACTTATTTTTTACAAAATTTCATCACTTAAATAACTGAAAAAATAGATTAAGTGCTAATTTTATAGACACTCTCAAGTTCGGAATTAGGGACTGATGATATTATAACCTATGTTACTTTCAGACGTTGAAAACACAGGGAAAAAAAAAGGAGTAGTAGACAGAAATAGTTTCCTAGTTCTGCTAGTTTCCTAGTAAACTACCCAAGTAGTTAAGAAGATTCTCATCCATGGGAGACATTCCTATGGTCTGGGCAAAGGATAAGGAAGCATATGAGACTGGGGAAGAGATCACGAGGCACCAAAATTGCTATAAAGCAATAAAAGTTTTACAGAAGCACACTCCTGTTCTTCACAGCCACCATTCTTAAAACTTTCTCAAGGAAAAAGTTACCTCTATTATATTTTTTCCCTGTAGGAGAAGATATTTGTAAAGATATTTATATGTTCATAAAATCAATAGAAGAGGATTTATTTTACATAAGTCCATTTTCAACCAACTTTTAATTTACACATCCATTCACCAAAGGGGGGGAGAGCCTGCGGTTGATGTTTCTCTCCACTTGGGAGCTCCCCCCCACCCTCCCCCATCACATCCCCATCTTCTAACCATACCCCCAACATACATATTCCTACCCGGCTCTTTCAACTGCTTTATGTGGCCTCGGTAAGTTTCCTTACCCTCCAACCCTTCCCAAAAGAAGGAAGCTAAATTTCTCCCACCACACCTCTCCTCCCAGGAAACAAAGAAGCCACAGAACAAAGTTCTACCTCCAACTACCCCCCCCAGACTATATTTTCCCACATGAAGTGTCACCTGTTGACAAAGTTGCCCAGGTTGTTAAGTAATTCAGAATTATTCTTGAGCATCAGGTCACTCCAGGAAAAAGAACTGTCCTGGTTTTCAGGCCGCACATAAAGCAGGTAGAAGCGCCAGATGTCAGAAGGGATGCCTGTGTTTTGGGCCATGTCCCCAAACACCCCCACACCTCGGCTCTTAGAGAACTTCCCATCCTCATAGTTCAGGTATTCTAGACAGGGAGGGGAAAAATCAGGATAAGTTTCTTCCTCCCTCTTTCCCACACAAGCTCAGCGCCCCCTTGTATACACCAAACATGGTATTCCCACATTAGCAAAATTCCACCTATTTCCCCATAATACTAGATATCAGTTTCTCCCCTCTCCCACACCAGGGAAATCTAACTGATTATTCATAACACACGTACATTATATACACATCTTGTCTTCCGAGATTCACCCAGGGACTATAAGAATCTAACTATAAAACATTCTTTGCAGATAAAGTCAGACCTAAAAAGTTGGAGAAACATGAATTGCTCATGGGTTGGTGGAGCCAATATAACAAAAAATGACAATATGACCTACATTAACTTATTTTATTCAGTGCTATACCAAACTCCTAAAAGAACAGTCTATGACGCTAAAAGAATAACAAAATTTAAGGAGGAATGAAAGGCCAAGAATTTCAAGTGTAATAATGGGGGAAAAAAAAGTGTAAAGGAAGGTAGTTCATCAGTACCAGATCTCAAACTGTACTACCAAGAAGTAAATATCAAAATGTTTTGGTACTGGTTTAAACAAAAAAGAGGCTGATCACTGGAACAGATTATGTATACAACACAGAAGAAAAGAGACGCAGTAGCGCAGTGTTTGATGAACACCTAAGACCTCAGTTACTGGGGGAAGGACGCACTCTAACAAAAAGTGCTAGGAACACTGGAAAGCAATGATACATCTCATACCATATGCCAAGAGATTTTCCAAAGGAATTAGGACTTATATATTAAAGTCACATTGTAATCAAAGTGGAGGAGCAAAGAAGTCTATGAATGGCTAAGAGTTCATGACTAAACTAGTGGGAAAGAGGATGAATCGCACAAAATAAAATGTACAATTTTCTTAACTTTATATAAAATTTTAGAAGTTTTTGCATAAACAAATCTAATATAAAAATTAAGGGAAAAAAAAGGTAACCAAGAAAAAACAATCTCTCCAATGATTTTCTTTAATTATAGGTCTCATTTCCAAGACGCACGCACACACACACACACACACATAAATATACATGGAACTCATTCAAATTTATAAAACTAAGAACCCCAATAGATAAATGATCAAAGGATATGAACAGGCAGTTTTCAAAGGAATAAATCTAAGTTATCAACAATCATAAAAGGTGAAATAGATAGGAGACTGAGAAGACTTCTAAGTGAATTGATGCAGAGCAAAGTGAGTTTACAATTAGGAGAATAATGTGTACAATGATAACAACATTAAAGAGAAAAGCAACTTTGGAAGACTTTAGAAGACAGATAAAAGAATGAAAATAAAAAACTCCACATCTCCTGATAAGAGAGGAAAGAGACATAGATTTTCAGATAAGTATGTAAATATGTATTGTAGATACGTGCTAAGGGACTTGCTCTAGGTTTAAAAAAAAACTTGCTAGGATGGAGGCAGGGTGTGAACAAAGATAGTAGAAGACAGATTAATTTTTAAAATATGTGGTTTTAGGGGAAGAAATTTAATTCTTAAAAGCAAAAAATAATTTTTTAGAAAAACATTTTTAAAATAAGCTTTTCTATATACAACTTCTAGCCATGGTAAGAAAAGGGATAATTCTTCAAACCACACCTCAACAAACTAAGCAAGTGAGGCAAAACCTGCCCCTATTCTGCTGACCAGACCTTTCCATTGGCAAAAGGGCACCTTTGCTTTCCTACCTGCGGCCCATCTCCTTCAATTCTCCGGAACTTCTTATTTCTTTTCTCCTCAGCATAAATTCTACTATTCCATTTCAACCCCCTCTCCAAAAACATCACCTAGGTGGCATGGTCACTGACTTCATCCTCCCATCATCTTTCAAAATCCCACACTTAGTCCCACCCCTACCCCACCCCTCAGGGCACCTGTGGCAATGAGGTGGCTGACCAGGGTATAGTTGTCTTCGGCTCCAAGGGCTGAGCAAGGGAAGACCACACTGTGGAAAGGGACATTGTCTTTGGCCATGAACTGGTAGAGCTCCACCTGGGCAGTTTGAGTAAGGAGAGAAATCTCAATGAGATCAGATATTCAGGAGGAGGGCAGAGACCCCCCTCAACACACGCACACATACACTCTCTCACACACAGACATTTTCTAACACACACACACACATTTTCTCCTTCTCCCTCTCCCTCTCTGTATATTCTCATTCTCCAAACACCCATCCCCAGACCATAAGGCTCAAGTACACTTTACCTGTTCTGGATTCTTCCACCATCGTTCCCACTGGTCAGTATAGTTAGCTGTGATGGACATATAGCCAATTGTAGCATCAAACCAAACATAAAACACCTGGGGAATCAGGAGAAGGGACATATGTTAGGATGAAGATGGAGTGGAATGAGGTGAAGGGAGAATAGGAGGATAAGAATGGTAACTGACTTGGGGCAGCTAAGTAGTTCAGGGGACTCTAGTCTTGGAATCAGGAGGACCTGAGTTCAAATCTGGCCTCAGACACTTGACATTTACTAGCTGTGTGACCCTGGGCAAGTCACTTAACCTTGATTGCCTCACCAACAACAACAACAACAACAAAAAACAAAGAATAGTAACTAACAAACAGTCAAGACTCAACAACCCAGCCTCCACCTACTGAATCAATGTAATCTCCAACAAACTCAATCCTACTGGGCCAGAGCCAATCCCAGGGCATGGGGCTTCAGAGCCAGTTCATTTGGGGGGAGTAGGAAATTTTGTCAAGCTTTTGACCTTGTCCTGGAAGCCCTCTAAGGGTACAGGGGTACCCCATTTGAGGTCACGAGTTATGCATCGTGGTTTGAGCCCATCCCGGAGCCACGACCGTGTGATGAATCGAGCATTGGGTGTCCAGTCACTGCCAGCTAGCGTCCTGCTCAACCACTCCTCCAGACGATTCTCCAACTGGAGGAGAAAGAATAAAAAAGAAAGCAGTGTCTGTGGAACAGAAAGCATACAAATCAATGGGGTGACAGGAAAAAACAAGAGAATTTACCTTGGGCAGGTCCAGGAACAAGTGCTGGGAAGATTTCACCACAGGGGATTCCCGGCAGATCTTACACTGAGGCTTCTGTAAGAAGGGAAAAGACAGGGAGAAAACCATGAAGGTACAAAACAAATTAGGGGCTCTATCCACCCGAGCTGATCCCATGCAGAGCAACCCCTGAAAGGGAAGGCAGAGAGGTCTTGGCAAGATTGAGCAAGAAAATAAAAAGAATGAGGCCGAGGTGGAAATGGGAAGAACGGTAGCCAGACAGTCATCAGACAAGGGGCTCAGGGAGAACAAGGACCCCCTATGTATGCCTTCGGCCCTTTCTGACCTTCAGCTCAATGGCATTGATGAGCTTGCCACACTTGTCGCACTGGTCACCACGGGCCTCCTCGTAACCACAAAAGGGGCAGATGCCCTCCACAAATCGGTCAGCAAGGAAGCGAGAGCACCGCTCACACCGGAGCTGCTCCACTGTGTCCTTGAGCAAGAAGCCCCGAGACAGTAGCCTCTGAAAGATGTCTTGGGTGATCCTGGTGGGGTGCACAGGGAAGAGCAGAGGAACTGAGGCAAAATCAGCACAGAGCTTGCTCAGGCTCTTAAACAAACAACCCAAAAAGTCCCGTGGGCCCAGAAAGGCTTTGGCTTCCTTTCTGTTCACTTCTTCCAAGTGCCTTGAGAGATGTCAGCCCATTTTGGGTCACTCTCCCAAATGCCATCATAATCTTTGATGATAACCTCTTCCTTCCATAACCTTTAAAGAGTCTGCATTTTTGTGGGCGAATCATTACGATTTTGTCTAGAACACGATCATAGATTTAAACCTAGAAGGAACATTAGAAATCATCTCGCTCACCCCCACTTTATAGATGAGGAAACTGAGACCCCGTGACTTGTCTACGGTCACATAGCTAGTAAGTAGCAAAGGCCAGGATCTGAATGAGAGGAAAGCTCTATGAGATCAGGGACAATATCTGTTTTTTAATATGATCCTAAATATCTAGGATAGAACTACATCCAGAAATTTATATCCTGGGGGTGTTGAGAAGGATGGCAGAGAATAATTTCTGCACTTCATGAGGAAAGGGGAGAAGGATAATGGAGGCAAGAAGGAAAAACCCATTAGAGTAAGTCATGCTTTTTTTCCTTTTCTTTTCATCTCCCCCTATCATTAACATAGACTCCTGTACACAGAAAAGTACAGATTATACTTCTTGGAGTGTGTGTGTGTGCGTGTGCGTGTGCGTGTGCGTGTGCGCGCGCGCGCGCATTTTCTTTTACAACATAGCTAATATGGAAATGTTTCATATGGCTTCATATATACAATCGATAACATAGGGCTTGCCTTCTTAGGGATGGGGAGGGAATTTGGAACTCAAAATTTATAAAAAAAGGAATGTTAAAAATGTTTTTAGGTACTTAAAGAAATACATAAAAATATATTTGAAAAAAAGAAGGTAACATGCTTATTGCTCAACTTCTCTAAATTTCCAGAAGTTTGCTTGACCCCTGGCCTTAGCTCCATCAACAGTCACCCTTTCATTTTCTCAGTCAGCCCACCCACCCCATACTCCCCACCGCATGAGCCTACGTGGTCTGAAGTGGCGTGGTGGTCCGACCAAAGAAGTCAAAGGATATGTTAAACCAACGGTAGATGCTGGCATGGATGGCGTGGTACTTGTCACAGATCTGCTGCGGTGTTAGGCCCTCGTCCATGGCTTTGGTTTCTGTTGCTGTTCCATACTCATCTGTCCCACTCAAGTACAACGTATTCCACTGGCGTAGTCGAGAGTACCTTGAGGACAACGGGGTGGTCAAAAGGGACGATCTATGCCTATGCCAATCCTGGCCCCCAATTGCTCCAATCCAAAAAAAGCACATTTATTAAGAACCAACTGTGTACAAGGAATGGTTCTAGGCACTGGGAATACAATCACAAAAAGTCCTCACCAACATATGTTCTCCATCCTTTTACAAGGCCCTTTTTTTAGGCCCCTGTTGATTAAGGGTGGATTTTGCCTTCCAACCTCTCCGTCATTCACAAGGCCCTTCCCTCACTCCCATCCCCAGGGCATGTGGCTTTTCCTCAGAGCCCACCCCTCCCTCCAGCAATCCTTCATTCCCCAGGAATCCCCTTTCAGCCCCCCAAATGTTTCCCCACTCCAGTCTTTTCCCTGGCACCCTAATCTACCTGGCAAAGACGTCAGCACTAAGGACACAACCAATGATGTTGCCTAAATGTGGGACATTGTTGACATAGGGAAGGGCACTGGTGATGAACACATTCCTTTCTCCAGCTACTGGTAACCTGGTGAGAAGGTAGGGGAAGACAGGTCAGGGTGACAACCCAGCAGTTTGGAAGGTTAGATTCAAGACAAAGGGACTAGGGGCCAGCTTAGAAGACAAAGCACTGAGGTACTCAGATTGCAGTATATTAACTTTGACCTACATGCTGCTTTACAAACATTAAGAACACTTATGATAGTGTATTTTTTTTTCCTGTGCATGCTTTCTACCTCTCTCGCAAGGCTATATAGGGTGTCTCAAAAACTTTACTGCATGTTTTTTGTTTGGCTTTGAGGGAGGCAATCAGGGTTAAGGGACTAATCTACCCAAAGGTCCCTCCACAATGAGGTAGAAGGATCAAAGAAAATACATGTTCCCTCTCACACTGGATCCTGCCGTGGTCTAACTGGAGGCAGAGCGTCCAGTCCTTGCTCCCAAGCTGTTACAGCCATGGCGATCTCCTCCTCAGAAAGCGTGTGAGCAGACAGCTCATCCTCCTGCGGACAGGGAACCCCACCCATGCCCCACCCAAGTAAGAGCAATTGCCAGGGTAAGGGAAACCTTCTTCTTTCCTCCCAACAATGTCCTCAAGCAAGTAACATTAGCAGAGTCCATCTCCTAACCACCTCCATGTACCTCAGGCTCCCCAATCAAATGTGGGGATCCCCCACAGATCTCCCTCCTTCCCACTTCATACCTCAGGCTCATTACTGACAGGTCTCTCTAAGGGAACACTGGGCTGTGGCTGTTTTTGCAGATATACCCGGAGAGCCAAGGCCCCCTGCTTTTTCAGTACAGATTCAGCTGCCTGCTGGCATGGTTCCTGGACACTCAGGGTCCGGAACCAGGTCTGCAAGGCAGCAAGTTCATCTGGGCACCAGGGTAGGAGAGAAAGCGGGAAAAGAAGTCAGAAGCTTAGAATGGGCAAAAAGGATTTTTTTTTCCTAAGCTACATCCTCTCTTCCCTTCCTCCCCTCCCCCCAGGATCCTCCAACAAAACTCCACCCTTGGTAGGCATCCTACTTCCCATACTCAAATCCCAAAGGCTGCAGGACTAAGAAATAAGTACTCAGGGCAGCTAAATGGCACAGTGCATAGAGCACCGACCCTGAAGTCAGGAGTATCTGAGTTCAAATCTGGCCTCAGACACATAACACTCACTAGCTGTGTGACCCTGGGCAAGTCACTTAACCCTACTGCCTAGCCAAATATATATACATATATGTATATATATGTATATATATGAATAATAATAATAAGAAATAAGTATGGTTCTCACCAGGAAGGTAAGTTGGATCCTGGAGCAAAGGGTATAGCGCTCCCCACAGAACGATATCAGCCAAAGACTCTGAATCCTTTAGCAAGAAGAGAAAGAAGTATGTGTTTGACAGCTTAGCTCTTCATAGAAAACTCCTTCCTCATAGAAACTCCTTCCTCCCTGTACCTTCAGTCCCAACTCACTCACCCCAGCAAGGAAAGGGCAGCTTCGTCGACTCAGGCTGTGGTCAATGTGTATCAACGCCTTTCGGACAGGAGAAAGGACATCCTCTCCCTTCTTTCCACGGACCACCAAGTTGTAGAGGGCGACAGAAAGAACAGGCTACAGAAGGATGGGGAAGAACATGAAATTACTATGAACAAAAAACTCCTAGCCTCCTCACCTGTCAGGCCATAGTTCTTACCTGTAACTCTGTTGTCTCCCATTCCAGCCACTGGTTAGTGAGGTCATCTTGTTCCCAACCAGACAACAAAAAGAAATACCTGTCAGAAAAGAAAGAGATGGGGTATGAGTTCAGGGATGGTCCCATATGTCTATGCCAATGATGGACCCATCCTCTTTCCTCCCACAATGGCACAGAGAACAGAAGCCATCAGGCTTTATTACTTAATCTTTCACCCACAGTCTCCTTCTCTCTCATCCCCATTCCCTTCCCCCTCCCTACACCAACCAAAACTGACCTGCAAATTGCACTACTAGAAAAAAGGTAGTGACCACTGTCTAGTTTCAGGGCTGGAAGTTTAGGCCGAGTCAAGAATGGTACCACACACTCTGGTAAGAGGAAACAGGGAAACCAACAGGTATAAGAATAGACCCACTGATCCCTAATTAGGAAGACTCAATTAAAACATACAAACCCTAGGGGAAGGAAAAGGATGGAGAACAAGTTCAGCTGAGAGCTCCCAAGGTAGGGTTACTGTGGGGAAAGGTGATTGGCAGTGACCAAGAATGGATTTCAGACTGACTCTAAGGAACACTTAGCCAAGAGAAATGGGGACAGTTGAGAAGGATATTCCCTGATCCCCCAGAACACTAATGATCTTCACCCCCAAAGCTCACACAGCACATTGTTTTACAACTATAACCCCTTTCATATTTTATTTATGGTGATCTGCCTTTGTATCTTCTCCCCTTGCCCATTCCAGGACAGCAGAAATTTGCCATATCTAAACTTTGTACCTCCCCCAGTTCTTAGCAAAGCACACCCCCTCCCTTCCCGCCCTTGGCAGAAAGTAAAAATTAATGCTTGTGGAATTAATGAGCTTTACACCTGGAAAAATAAAGCATGATACAGACTACTCATAATGACGGGAAAAGAAGACTACAAGCGACTGGAGACAAGTGAGAGGAATAACTGGGTAGTTCAGGTATAAGTGAAAGGACTAACTGCCAGCAATCATAAGAGTTAGTGTGGGAAGGTACTTCCGGGTGCCACCCAATCCCACTACCCCATTTTAAAGACAAGGCCACTGCGGCAGAGAGGTTAGGAAACTTTGTCCAGAATCACCCAATTAATAAATGTCTAAGGGAGGATTCAAATTCAGGACTCTACACCCGGCTGCCTGGGAGGAGATGAGGAGGTGGAGAAGGGGAGAAATTGAGAAGCAGTAGTAATGCTTTAGGTCTGCTTATTAGTTTTCAACACCAATAAAATTTTTCTTTTCTTTCTTTCTTTTTTAAAAATAGTCCGTGGGAGAGAAGTCCAGGAGAACCTATCAGCACTCGAGAAGGGAATAGGAGCAGTTGTTGGCAGGGACTCCCAGCAGAAGGAATGGATGGGAGGCTGGAGGCAGAGGGACCAAGGGGAGGGTCCTGCGAGGGCTGACAAGAGGATAGGGGGGAAAAGGGGAAGGAGGTGGTAGGGGAGTGGTCACGGAGGGGGGGATAAGGCGGGCCGGGGGATCAGGAGCTGGGGAGCGGCGGGATCTGGACTCTCGAGCCCCATCCCTGGTACCTTCGGGGCCCACGGTGCTGATGAGCAGCTTGTCCCTGGCCCCTGCCCGGCAAGCCGCGGCCAGGACAGGCAGGTTCCCCGGGGCGCCGTCGCTCACGAAAAGCCGCATTCCGCCTCCTCGCAGCCGCTGATGCAACAGGAACCGGCGTGCCAGGCCTTCGCACTCCTGCCTCTGCAGCCCCGCTAGTCAACCGCCGCGCTGGACTCTGGGAAGTGAAGTCTCCGATCAGTCGGCGCCTCAGGTTGTCCCGCTAAGCGGAGACTCTATCTCCCACAATGCATCGCAAAGGAAGCGGAAGAGACTACTCCGAGACCACAGAAACAAGGGCTGATGCTAGAGCAATCCGTTTCCTTCCGTGGTTGGCCTGTTTTTCCCACCTTTAAGCCTCTATTGTCAACCAGCTAAGAAGGAGGATTTGTAAGCTCTGGAGGCACGCCATTGCAGCCACTTAACTGCACACCACCAGCGTTTGTAACAGGGTTTTTATGGAAGCCTCTTTCGCTTACACTGTTACTTGATTCCTTACCTTATTAATTTTTATCATCCCGAGTTCTTGGGCAATTCAGGGGTATGGTTGGATCTTTTCTCATTAATCAGTTTAAATTACAATCTTTCTCATTGATTAATCCATTAACTTAGCTCCTACAGTCCCAGCGTTTATTCACTTAATAACCTGGAGAAACCTCTTTCTCAATAAACAGTGGTTCCTATCTCTATATACCAGAACCTCTAACTTCTTTAAAAAAAAAGTTACTGACTGTACTTTATTAACAATGTAACAAATAATAACACAAAGACGATTATCTATTTACCATATTTTAGTTGTGAAAAAGAACAATCACCTTTAACCATTACTGAAACTGAAGCTGTCTTCTGAGAACAAGGTTTCGCCATAGTACTTCATTGAGGATACCAAGCAAAGTTTCTTCTCTAGGATTTTTTTCACCCCTTTCTCATGTCTCTCTGTCTTTTCCAGTTTCTCTGAAACCACCTCCATTAGTTCTCTTTTCCCAGTCTTTCGAAAAATCTGCTAAAACAAAATTTTCATAGGATGACAGTTAAAAACTATTACTTTCCAAGCTTCCTTACCAAGTGAAGAGACAGTAACAGTAAAGATAGTCTCTGCAAGAAAGGCTTTTAAAACAAATGTTACATTTCTCCCTAAGGCCAAAAATTTTTGGTTCCCTGAAAATCACCTGGGAGTGCACATCAAATCTTCGATAATACGTTGCACATATAATGCAAAGCACCACTTTAAATAAGGTTGCTTTAAGAAGGAAACCAGTACAACACTAGTAATAATAATACCTAAATGAAATAGTAACACATATATAACACATCAAAATGCCAAAAACTGTTACATATAATTCAACAATGAATTATATGCATTTGAAGAGTGACAAATTCTGCAACATCATAATTTAACCTATTTTATAAGTTGGGTGGTTCTTCATATTCTAAAACAAAATATTGGGAAAGACTCTTTAATTTAACAAGAACTCTTGGAAAAGTTAATGATAATCTATCAGAAAATTTCTTTAGGCTACCATCTTATACCATACAGCATAGTAAGTTCCAAATCAATAAATAAACTAGCTAAATACAAACACTTCACTATTAAAAAGATAAAAGGGAATAATAGGTTACGTCTCTCACAAGAATGGAGATAGCACGAATTTGTAATTAGCTGTTACATGAAGGTTATCATAAAAGTCAAAATAGTCTACATTGGTTATACAAACATGAAACTTTTGCACAAACATGCTAGATGCAAATATAAAAAGAAGAAAAGGTAGACTGGGAAAGCATCTGTACAAAGCATAGCTAAAAAAACATGCAAAATCTACAGGAAATTGACAAAAATCTATAAGATTAAAACCTAGATAAACAAAATCTTTTGCAAAAAGACAAACTATCAACAACTACACAAAAAAGTACTGAAAATCACTAATTAGAAAAAAAGGCAAATTAAAGTAACAGATATTCATTCCTATCAAAGTGGCAAAGATGATGAAATATAGGGAAATTCAATATTAGAAGGGACATGGAAAAAGAGGTTTACTAATTCTCTCAGTGGAGCTGTGAATTGGCCCATCTATTTTACAGAATGATTTGGAATTGCCCATGAAATGTGACCAAACAGTTCATTGCTTTTGACGTAGGTATTCTCTGTTGTGAGGTGGGTTGGGGAGGAGACTAGCTTGTGAGGGACTGACCAGTGAGGGTCTGTCTAGTCCTTGAAGCCTGCTCAAACATCATCTGCCTATGCCAATTCCAATAAATACTGGAACTCTGGAAGCCTGTTTTGAATAACTCAGGAGTCTGTACTGTGTGGTGATTAAAAAAAAAAAAAAAAGCTTCTGATTGGTTTTAGAGCCAAAAGGACTCAGCATAGCCAAAAGTTTGGCTGTAAGAATTTGATTATTTAGACTTCAGCTTCCGGGAGCCAAGATGGCCAAGATGGCAGAGTAAGAGGTGAGTCTCTTTTACTCTCCCTTATTAACCCCTGAAAGCCCAGAAAATATCACCCCAGGAAAAACCCTGGAACAACTAAACCAGAAGAAAGATGGGGAGCAGCAGTCCAGTAGCCCAGGTAGTTTGAGGGATTAACTGGAAAGGGGAGCAGTACAGAATGGGAGGCATCCCAGCAAGCTAGTGGAAAGCCCCACCTCAGCACACCAGGAGGAGATCCTGAAGCCCAGGTGGTGGAGCAGACAAACACCAACACCTGGACCCTGAGTGCCTCATTGAGGGCAGGGGAACGAGTGGAAACCAGCTCAGAAAACCACCAGGTGCCTCGGCATTCTACAGGAGCCAGCTCTCCCAGTGCCTCAGCAAAACTAAGGGAAACAGTGCTCCAAGGGGCTGCAGGCAGATAAACACCCTACAACATACATCTGAAAAGAGCTGAAGAACGCAAAAGGAAGGAAAGGCCTGGATGAGCAGGAAATCTCCAGGAGCCACACTCCCCAATCCTACCCCTAGAGTTCCGGTATTGTTTCGAGCCCAACACCAGGTAAGCCGCCAGAATCCTACAGTATCCAACTGCCAACATTGGAGGCCCCAGCACACAAAGCCATCAACCAGGCCCAAGGCTCCCAACACAAGAAGCTTGGGTCAGTGCCCTCTGTTCCCCAGCAGGAGAGCCCAATCTCTTTAAAAGCCAGGAAATAAGCAAACACCATGAGCAAAAAGAAATGTAGGATAGATTCTTATTATGGGGAGAGTGAAGATCAAGGCAGAAATTCTGAAGAGCACAACATTGTCAACAAACCCACATCTGGAACCTCAAAAGGGAATGTGAACTGGTCTGAAGCCCAAAAAGTCTTCTTAGAAGAGCTCAAGAAGGATTTTAAAAGTCAAATGAGAGAGGTAGAAGAAAAAATGGGAAAAGAAATGAGAGGTATGCAAGAGACAGTCAATAGCTTGGAAAAGGAAGGACAAAAATTAACTGTAGAAAACAAGTCCTTAAAAAATACAATTGACCAAATGGAAAAAAAGTACACTGAAGAAAACAAGTCCCTAAAAAATACAATTGGCCAAATGGGGAAGGAGATACAAAATCTAATAGAAGAAAAGAATTTGTTAAAAATTAGAATTGAGCAAGTGGAAGCTAATGACTCTATGAGAGAGCAAGAATCAATCAAACAAAAACAAAAGAATGAAAAAATAGATGAAAATGTAAAATATCTCATTGGTAAAACAACTGACCTGGAAAATTGATCCAGGAGAGACAATTTAAAATTTATTGGTCTACCTGAAAATCACGATGAAAAAAATAGCCTGGACAGTATCTTTCAGGAAATCATAAAGGAAAACTGCCTTGAGGTCCTAGAACCAGAAGGTAAAATAGCTATAGAAAGACCCCACTGATCACCTCCTGAAAGAGATCCCAAATTGAAAATGGCAAGGAATATAGTGGCCAAATTCCAAAATTACCAGGTCAAAGAGAAAATACTACAAGTAGCCAAAAAGAAGCAATTTAAATATCATGGAACCACAGTCAGGACTACACAGGACCTTGCACCTTCTACACTGAAAGACTATAGGGCATGGAACATGATATTCCGCAAGGCAAAGGATCTTGGTTTACAACCAAGGATCAACTATCCAGTGAAAATGAGCATGATCTTTCAGGGGAGGAGATGGATATTCAATGAAATAGGGGACTTCCATACCTTTCTGATAAAAAGACCAGAGCTCAACAGAAAAATTGGTCTTCAAATACAAGACTCAAGAGAGACATAAAAAGGTAAATGGGACAGAAAGTAACAACATGTTATTAATAAGGACAAACTCTTTACATCCCTACAAGGGAAGATGACACTTGTAACTCTTGAGAGCTATATTGTTATTACACCATGTAAAATGGGTATACCTAAAGAGGGTGGGTATAAATTGACTTTGATGTGATGATGTAAAAAATCTAATCAAGTAGGTTAAATGAATCCAAGTGAGTGAATTAATCTGATCTAACTAAGAAAATTTACTGAGAGAAAAGGAAAGGAGTCAGACAAGGATAAATTACATCACAGGAAAAGGCACAAAAACCTATTAGAGCAAAGGGAAAGAAGGCAGGGAGATGAGCATTGTTTGAACCTTACTCTCATCAGATTTGGCTTAAGAAGGGAATAACATAATCAGTTAGGTATAGAAATCTAATATGCCCCATAGGCAATAGAAGGGGAAAGAAATGGGGCCCTGGGTGCCCCCCCCCCCCCGCGCCCCAGCTAATAGAAGGGAGGTGAGACTAAGGGAGGTGGTGCTCAAAACCAAAACATTAGTGAGGAGGGAAAAGGAGAAAGAAAAGCATAAAGGGGGGGAGGGAGAAAGGATGAAGAGAAAGACACAGATAGTTATCATAATTGTAAATGTGATATATGAATTTAATGGAATACTATTGTGCTATAATAAATGATGAACAGGCAGACTTCAGAGAAACCTGGAAAGATTTGTAAGGTTTGATGCTGAGTGAAGTGAGCAAAACCTGGAGAACATTGTACACAGTACAGCCACATTAAGTGATGACTGACTTTGATAGACTTAACCCCTCTCAGAAATACAAGGATCTAAGACATCTCCAAAAGCTTCATGATGGAAGATACTATCCACATTCAAAGAAA